TATGATAATAAAGTAGTCATAAATTGATTTTTTTAAATTGAAGTTGCATTTATTTGATGTTTGTTTAAGGATTATTTTTATAAAAATTAGCTTTTTGAAAAGGTTAGGATTATATTTGAATAGTTGAATCATCAACGCTATCACTTAACGTGAGACCATATTAGCATTACTTAATAACTATACCATATCTCAAATAAATTTCATTCAAAATAATTAAAAAAGGACTAAAAAGAATAAGGAACCTAAAAAATTAGGTGAATATGAATTTAATTTAAAGATGCTAATTAACAACTCTCACATTCAAGCTAAATACCAAAAAATCTAAATATTAATAATTTCATTCAAATCTTCATTAAATGCATTAATTAGCAGTAATATATTCTAACCAGTAGTTAACAGGAGAAATTACCAATAATAATTATTAAGTTAAATTTACTCAAAAAAGAATAAATCTAAAAATTCTTACAAAAAATATTCTTACCTAATATTATATTAGGTTTAATAAGTGTTGAATTATATCAATTAAATTCCAATAATAATTCACTAATTAAATTTGATAAATCATGCAGCAAGATGATGGAGATTTACTCTGTAAATGTAATTAGCCCATTCGTTATGTGTTATTTGATACCAATGTAAAAATGGAAGAAAGGCTATTATGTAATGAGTGCAGTTTAAAATTTTACTAATAAATAATGATTAATAAGCACTAAAATTTAAAATTATTTTCAGAAGTCATTCAGATGATGAAAACTACTTATTTCTAAAAAATGTAATATCTAAAAATAATTAGATTCTTTGATAACAGAAGTGTATCAAAAAGATGAAATAGAATAAGTAATTACAAAGGAAGTTGAAAATATTCAGCTTAGTTGGATTCAAAAAGCAAGGTCTGCTTTAGGCAATTGTTGGAACAATTCACTCTACCATAAGTTTAATTAAGTTCTATAAAATTTTAACACAAAACCACCACCTCCTTTAGGTATGTTAGCATCATACCCTTATTTATCAATAAATCTATCAATGTCAACTGCAGATGTAATACAAGATTCCATTTAAGATGAATGTGTCTTAAATATAAATTGGCAGATAAATAATTTATATTAATAAATATAACAAGAAGTGCCTTACAAATTAGATAAACAAATTTGTGCATTTACTTTTAATAAGTCAAATTAACTTCTAGTTGGAGCATGTTTAAAAAACATCCAAGGATATGTGATAAATAAAGGTTAATTGAAATTAATTTCAACAATGATTGGTCATATAGACAATGTGAGGATTACAAGATTTATGAATGTAACTTCTAAGAACATACTTATTTCTGCCAGTGAAGATAGATCATTAAGAGTATGGTCATATACATAATTGGCTAGACCAAAATTTCTGTAAAAAATTAATGCTCATATGAATGGAATTCTATGTTTTATTTTAAATAAATCAGAAGATCTACTTATTACTGGGAGTAGAGATACAACTTTAAAATTTTGGAAAAAGAATAATTAAGTATAAAATGGTTGCATTTTAGCCACTTGTGTATAAACTTTAAATTAACATTCTCATAATATTTATGATTTGAGTTTATCCCCAAATGAAGATAAATTAATTTCTTGCGCTGAAGATTCAAGAATATTAATCATTTCACTTATACAATCAGAATGGAAAGTAACTTAGATAATATAGGTTTAGAAATTTGGATTCAGATTAAGTTTTATTGATAATAATATTTTTACTTTTCAACCAATATTAGCTGAATTTATGTAAGTTTATGAGCTAAACTAGGATGGTCAATTTATAAAAACATTTGATGTTTAAGTAAAAGGAGGTATTTAAGATTGTAGAATATTTTTTCCTTAATAATATATTTCTGAAAAAAATCTGCTTATCAATAAAAATGGCTTTCATATTAATATCATAAAAGTGATTTTTAGAAAAGAGAAAAAGTCTCAAAAGTTATAAAAAGCAAAGTTTGTTGTTGAATAATCAATTAGCTTTGGTTAAGAATCAACTGGACTAATATTTGGTCAATTAAGTGACAATGCAGAGTACTTAATAACTTGGGATGGTAACACCAAAGAATTGTAAATGAGATAACTGATTAAAAAAATAAATTGAATTGTATTTTATTAAAATGTATAAATTATGTATTTTTTTATATTAAGAATTATAGTAATTGCATTAATTAGTATAGCAAGTTGTGATATATATAATTGCAAGTGAAAATAATTTTTTAATTCATTTACTTATTTGATTTATCCAAATAATCCTAATTATTAAGAAAAAATGAAAAAATAAATGAGTTTATAATTTGAAGAATCTGAGTTATTAATTAGAACTTATTTAGGTTTATAAATACATAATCTTAATAATTACAAATTTTAATTCAAATGTAATAGTAAATATTTTTATGAATTAAAAATATTAATTACTCAGATTTATGGGACTGTTGGTGATTCTGGTGTATTATTATTGCTTTATTAACGATAAAATAAAGGAAATAAAATTAGAAAGGATATTTCTGCATGATAAAATATAAATCTATTTATTTAATTATTTTTTAATTATAATCTCTTTTGAAAAATTATTAATTAATTATAATCTTTTTATTTCTTAAACTTGCATTTCTTTTGTTTAAAAATCAAATTTATTGATATATATATTACTTGATAATATATTAATTCTATTTGAAAACTTTTGAAACTATTAATTTCAATATGTTTATAAAGTTATATGGAAGAGAAATTCTTAATTTATTATTTTAATTGAGTTACTTAATAGGTAATCTAATCATTAGTGATATAGCGAATGATTTTTTTCTTTATGAATATGTACAATAAAGTAATCTTGTCTCACATAATCTATTCATTTTCTTCTTAAATCATATCTAATACTATACTTAAATCAAACAGATATGGTTTGGAATCCAAACAATAGAAAATTTGAAGATGTGAATTCATTCTAAATATCAATTTATGTACATCATTCAATTTGCGTATGGGTGCTTTAATGAGGTAATGCTGGTAAAAAGAATGTAAGTCAGTATTTAAGTCTAAGTTATTGCCTTGAAAAAGACTACAGATAGTTAATTATTTGTATACTTGAACCTTTATTAATAAACACCGTTTTAAATAGATTTATGAAAATTGTTGAGTAGGATAGACCTTTCAGAAAAAAACCAAAATTAGGATTAAATTCGAATAATTTCAACTATAAAACAGCAGTTGAAGTATGGTTGAAAGTAACATATTAAACATATGTTTAATCTTCGTCCGAAATCCATTTTCCAAGATAGGTATTTAATTTTTTTGAACTTAAAATTCATCACTCTTTCAAAATTGTTCATATACCTAATCAATTCCCCAAAGTTTTATTTATAAATAGTAAATAAATTAATTTTTTTGTTATTTAGCTTAAATTTTATTGTCATAGACCTACATTTTGTCATAAAAGGTTAATTTTTCTATCTTAAGAAAAAAAACTAAAATTAAATTTGGAATAAGAATCTATTTAGAATCCCTCCATATAGATATCAAGTGAACAGGGATATATTAGAGAACATTATATAATAAATTTTTCAGATGCCTTAGTTTTTCATTAAATATTGCAAAGTGCCATAATATTGACTTATATTCCAAATTCTTTTATAATCTCTGTAAATTATTTTATTATTTGATTAAGTTAATCCATCAATTTATCATAGAATCTTAATTCGAGAAAGTTGTACAAGAACCAAGAATTAAAATATGTCTGATTATACTTTTCTTGGTGTTTTAGGATATAATTTATTTAGGGGTGTCAATCTTGCCCAATTATTTTTTTACTTATTATTGAGGTTTCTTTTTTTCGTATGTCAGATAAAATTTACCAATTCCATGATTTTATGAATTATTGAGTCAAACAATCATAAAAAATAGCTTTAATTTTTGCTAATTTTTCTTTAGAATTCCTTAATCTCTTAGTTAGATAATAGATATTATTAGGTTTGATTTGATAATTATGCTTATAGCTATAATCAAATTAATTTTGGCTCATATAATTTTTTCTTAATTTTTATTAGATTTTTGTAATAACTTTTATACCTTCCTTAGAAAATTAGAGCTTTGGTGAAAAAAGTTAAATTTTTTATTTTATATAAATATGAATCATGTGATTAAGCAAAACCATTATAAATAGAGTTACCAATCTCACTAAAAGTTTCAGAAAAAACTGAAAGAAGTTCAAATCCCTAAAATTGTTCTATGCTTCATAATGAGATTTTCTATCTAAAGCTAAATTGGTAGATTTATTCTAAATTTTAGAGCCTTCTGAAATATGTAATAAAGTGGGATATATATATCATAAACAAAGCTACAATCAATTAAATTAAACTTTTATAAGAAATTAAATTTTTTTTTCCAAAACATAGAAATAAGCTATGCAATAATCGTATGTAAGAAAGTTACGAAAATAGGTTATTATAATATTCTTGCTATCAGTTAAAATTTAAGAGTTTTTAAAAAAATTAATTAATGTTCTTTTAGTATAGTCTATTAAGGATTAATTCATTTATCTTAGTGATCATTTATAAACTCTCTAATAAATAATCAAATTTGAAAATTAATTTTATATAAATGCTATAAAAATTAAATCAGTAAATATGTTATTCTATTGTAGTACTTTAATATTAACTACTTGGAATGTTAATCATTATAAAGATTATAAAAATTCTTATGTTATAAATTATAATAATTTGATTAGGAGGGTTTATAAATTAAACACTAAATGAATTAATAATTAATTAAGGTATTATTGAAAGCATAAACAATCTTGTGAAATCACATGTCATCAGTTTTCTAATTAAAAAATAAATTGTAAATTAATTAGAATATCTAATTCAAGTAGATCAAATTAACTTAGATTTTTTCAAACATTAAAATAAAACGCAATATTTTTTTATTAGCTAGTTTTTTATTTTCTAATTTCTACTATAAATTGACATCCAACTCTTTAGATTTTCTTTTTATTAAATTTCTCAAAACTTGGATACTGTAACTACCAATAAACTAAAATTATTTCTCAATTGTCATTTGTGACTTATCTCTGAAAATTGAACAAACTTAGACCCTCCAGATCATACAAGAAAGGGTTAGAATCATTCTCACATATGTTCTAAATAAAGTAATTGTTAACATATTAAAATCTATAAAAAGTCCCCTTTAGTTTGTGGTTTCAACCTCTTTCATAATTTAATCTGTATATGATTGCTATTTGCCTCCACAGAATGAGATCCAAAAATATGTTTTAATGATCAATATTCCATGATCAAATATTTATTTTCAATTAAACTAAAGCTATTCTTCCAAATTCTCCAGAAATATTCTATTATTGTTATTTTATGCCATCTATAAGCATTTGCCAATCACAAATATTGATTTTTTTTTTAATTCTCTTACCAAAAAATATTTTTACTAAAAAATCTATATTTTTATAAAGTGCTATCTGTGATCAACTATTATATTTAAGTGAATAGTTTCTTTCTGATTATTAGAAAATATTATAACTTAAGAAAGAATAAATAATCAGCAAGCCTTGAAAAGATTAGCAAGAAGTAGGCTTTCAGATAAAGAATACTAATATTATCAAATAAATTTCATTTTATGGAATTAATAATTAGCTTTGCTATAGATATAAATATTCTATTTTCCATTCTCAAATAGGGTTGAATTAATTTTTAGACCAATATATAAAGGATGATTTTTCATAAATAATTTTGAATAATTTTGCATTTTTTTTTCTAGTCAATAGTAAATGTACATCTTCCTCCGAGGATCTGGCCTCGACCGGGATTTAGAGGGGAGGAGCCATAAAGTTATCTCCAGGCAATTAGAAGGTTACCCTCTTGAGTTACTCGTGATTTCCTTGAGCATCATGGTCATCTCTCAACCCTGGACGTTGTAGAACGCTACGATTCGAACCAGGCATTGAAGGGGACAGCCCCTTNACAAACAGTATGGAGGTTTCTAGAACCGAAGCACTGACGATCCTCCTGACTTCATTCCCTAGAGCAAAAGGATTAAGCCTGCTCTGTAGCTGTACAAAAGGACTGGAGATGCTCACTCTCTCAGAGCCCCTTCCAATTTCAAGCCTAGACTATAGATTTGTATACATGAGCCTTCCCTCCCATTTACGCCAGGTTTCACACAGCAGAATTATTTTCATTAAAAATACTTTTAATACTTTTTTAAAATATTGAAGATTCAATTTAAGTTTTTGTATTTGGAAATGAATTATTTAAACAAACAAAAACTATCAATCTGTAACTATTAGCCCTGGATGTAACTTAAAATTTTTCTATTTTGATAAATTTTTTTTTGTGAAAAATACATTTCTTTAGACGGGATGATAATCAAAAAATTTTTATGAAACTAATTTGAACTGAAGTGTTAATATTCATATTTTTCTTATAATTTAAGAATCCAATACAAAAAAAATAGAAATTTACTTTAATTCCTCTTGAAATTTTTTTATGTTTTTTGATATCTTTGCTAAATGTCTGTGATTAAGTTTATTTATTTATAAATATTTAATTAAAAATAAAGGGAGAATATGAAAACGTTTAGAAGTATTTGATAAAAATATTTTATGAATATCATTTATTTTTTTAAAGTAAGCTTATTATAAATTTAGAATTCTTAAATTTATATGAAAAACTTAATAAAATATAAGAATTTACTTAAATGGGAATTAAAAAGTTCGTTTTTTTCTTTTAATTGATTAATTACATTAAGCTATATCAATTTGAAAATTCACAAATTTTAATTTAAACGTTGAAAAAACTATTGATATTTTAATTATTTATTGATATTTATACTTGTTAAGCTCTTCCATCTTATTTAATGTACAATACGGATAGCAAATCTCACATAATAAGAAGAAAATTATAACTAATTATAAAATATATAAAATATGTGATAAATCAATCAATAATTAATTAAAATTGATTTAAAATTTTTTATTTAAAAGTAGATCTCCTTAAATTTATAAAAACTAAAAATTTAATAAACATGATAGTTGATAATTTAATTTAAATAAAACTTACCCTCAAACCTTTCTATACTCTAAAAATTTAGTCAAAAAAAACAAAAGAAAAATATAAATCACTAAAATTACTAATTCAATATAAATTATTATCAAGGAGTTAGTAAGATTTTAAGAAATTTACTTTCTGATAATGTTTTGGTATATAATAAACCTAGTGTATAATGTAAAATTAAGATAAACAAGAAAAATACATGTATTAATTTCCTTTATTTATAATATTTAGTTATCCTAAATTACTAAAGAATCTAAATTTAGAAGTGAAATCTTATTATATTGTAATTCCAATCAATTCCAAATCTAAAAAAAGGTAAAGTTTAAACTTCTGTGTTACAAAACACTTAAGATATTTTTATTTTGATTTGTAATATAAATATAAAATTAACAGTGATAGAAATTAAATATTAAAAATAGAAAATGAATTGCACTTTTAAATAGAAGGATGCTTTAAATGACATTTTGGTTTAAGTTAAAGATGTACATGAGCAAATACTCAATGTTATGTTAGAAATATTTCGAAAGGAAAAAGTCTAGGATTGTATCGAATATCTTGCAGATAATAGTAATCAAAGACATATAGAAAAATAGATCTTATAACAACACGAAAATTAAATTCATGTTGATAAAGAGTAGGAATTGTATGATGTTAATAATTACATGAAAAAAATTAATGATGTCTTAAACTAATTAAAAGATCATGACTTCAATAAAAAAGACTATTCCATAGTAGAAAATTAGAAATCTAAACAGGATCTAATTAATAACATAAAAAATGAGAGATAAATTATAGATTTTTTGTAATTTTTAGTTCTCATTACATCCATAGATAACAATTTAATACAATGTGGGTCTAATTCATTATATTTATTAGTTTAGTTGAAAGTGGACCTTAGAAATAAAAATTTTTAAAACATTAGGATTTAAAATACTTCTTTGATAGGAGCTAATTTTGTTCGTTGTAATTTAAGTGGATCATAATTTAATAATGTTAATATATGTGGGATTAATTTGAATGGAGCATTATTATTGAATTGCAAATTTATCAACTCAAGAATCCAGGAATTAAATTAATTAAATGGTCATCTTTATATAGTTTAATCAATTTGCTTTTCTCCAGATGGTACTACTTTAGCATCTGCATGTGGGAATTCTGATGGTATTAGTAATAACTCTATTCTTTTATGGGATTTAAAAACAGGATTATAAAAAGCAAAATTGGATGGTCATAATAATTTGGTCTTGTCAGTCTGTTTCTCTCCCGACGGAACTAAATTAGCATCTAGCAGTAGTGACAACTCTATTAGATTATGGGATTTTAAAACGAGAAAAAAGATGGCTAAATTAGATGGTCATAAACAATGTATAAACTCAGTCTGTTTCTCTCCTGATGGAAATATATTAGCTTCTGGTAGTGATGATAAGTCTATCCGTTTATGGGATATTAAAACAGGACAATAAAATGCCATATTGGATGGTCATGATGGAGATGTTCGATCAGTCTGTTTCTCTCCTGATGGAAATATATTAGCTTCTGGTAGTGATGATAAGTCTATCCGTTTATGGGATATTAAAACAGGATAATAAACAGCCAAATTAGACGGTCATGAAGGAGATGTTCGATAAGTCTGTTTCTCTCCTGATGGAAATACGTTAGCTTCTGGTAGTCATGATAAGACTATCCGTTTATGGGATTTTAAAACAGGATTATAAAAATCAAAATTAGATGTTCATACTGATTTGGTCGTATCTGTCTGTTTTTCTCCTGATAGTAATACATTAGCATCAGGAAGTTATGATAACTCAATCCGTTTATGGGATATAAAAACAGGATAATAAAAAGCAAAAATAGACGGTCATGATGAACCTGTTACTTCAGTCAGTTTCTCTCCTGATGGAAATACTTTAGCTTCTGGAAGTTATGATAAGTCTATCCGTTTATGGGATTTTTAAACTGAATATTAAAAAGAAGAACTAGATGGTCATGATGAACCTGTCATATCAGTCTGTTTCTCTCCTGATGGAAATACATTAGCTTCTGGTAGTTCAGACAACTCGATTTGTTTATGGGATATTAAAACAGGATAACAAATAGCCAAATTAGATGGTCATCAAAATTGGGTTATGTCAGTCTGCTTTTCTCCTGATGGAAATACATTAGCATCGGGTAGTTATGATAGCTCGATTCTTCTATGGGATATAAAAACAGGATAATCAAGAGTTAAATTGGATATCCAGGTTAGTGCAATCATGACAGTCTGTTTCTCCCCTAATGGAAACACCTTAGCATCTTGTAGCGATGATAAGTCAATCCGTTTATGGGATGTTAAAACAGGATAATAAAAAGCCAAATTTGAAGGTCATAGTGATTATGTTAGATCAGTGTGTTTCTCCCCCGACCAAATTACATTAGCATCTGGTAGTGATGATAAATCTATCCGTTTATGGGATATTAAAACTGGATTACAAATAGCCAAATTAGATGGTCATGAAAATTGGGTCATGTCAGTCTGCTTTTCTCCTGATGGAAATACATTAGCATCGGGTAGTTATGATAGCTCGATTCGTCTATGGGATATTCGAATAGGATAATAACAAACAAAATTAGATGATCATACTAGTGCCATCATGTCGGTATGTTTCTCTCCTGATGGAAATTCATTAGCTTCTGGTAGTGATGATAAGTCTATCCGTCTATGGGATATTACAACAGGAAAATAAAAAGCCAAATTGGATGGTCATTCTAATATTGTCTATTCAGTCTGCTTCTCTCCTGATGGAAATACATTAGCATCTGGTAGTAATGATAAGTCTATCCGTCTATGGGATATTAAAACAGAATAATAATAATCTTTATTGGAATATTCGTGTAGTAATTTTTTAACACCTGTTTTTAATAATTAGCTTATTAGTTTATGTAATGGTCAAACTGGAATAGAAATTCAATCCTTTAACCAAGGTTACTAAGGGATCTCTTCAAAATTAAACAAGCCCTATAGTATAAATATTCCTATTCCTAGTAATATTTTTTTCATATAATTTAGCCTCCAAAAATATTACTATCCTCCTGATATCATAAATACCAATACTTTAAGCTTAATTCGCTATAATTCTACAAGGAGAATTCTTAAATTATTAAGGAGTTGATTTACGATCGTTATTACAATGCAAAGGTGGCTTTTTTTTGGAAAGTTAAATGTAAAAGTTAATTTGATTATTATCCACAACAATCCCAAAATATTTAAATATAATTTCTTATAATTTTTTAATGTCTTTTTTAGTTCTTTTCTTTATCAGTTCGTTATGGTATTATAAAATAACTTCTAAATGTTAATAAATTCTTATTAAGAAATTTTAATCATTTGTTAATAAAGGTAGAATAATTATACTTTATAATTATAATAATCAAAAGTCAGTCTAATGTAGGGTTTCATAATTAATACGTTATTATATTGTTAATTAAGAACTGTGAGTGCATCAAAAATCTAAAAGAAAGTGTTAAATGAATATACAAAAGTAAAAGTGCATTCTGCTTATATCATTTAAGATGTTATTATAATTATTATATTATATATGATTAAAATAAGGGATTTGGATTTAAAGTTAAGTGTAAAAATAGTTATTAAAACGTTTTGGTTTCCTAAAATGATAAAATAAAAGAGGAACATATACTTATTATTTTATTTAATAACAACCACATTAGAAGAAGATCTGTGAAGAATTCAATTAATTAGAACTTTCAATTGCATTATCAATAAATAAAGTTTTTGTCTTTTAGGTATTAGTGGATATAAAATTTATTTTACTAATAATTTATTACTTTTGGTACCGAAAATAAGAATATTAACGATCTTTTAGTATTTGAATTGTAAAATGGAGTTTTTAAATTGAATTCAAAGAAAACTATTATTTTAATTAGGAATGTTCAGATGAATCTAATTTTCAAACAATAAATAATAAGGATAAAAATATACTATTAGTAAGACACAAATAAGATATCTATATGATTAGAGCATTAAATGAATGTATATTTATAAATATGACTTCATAAAACTTTTAAAGTGAATAATCTTATGGTAGTATGTAATAATTATATGGTATACTATATATTTGGATTGTAAATATATCTATAAATTATTATCAATTAATTGACTACTTAATTTTTCATTTTGGCAAAAAATTAATTATGAAATTTTTTGTAAGTTTATTTAAAATCTAAATGAGTATATAAAATAAGTAATTCAAATTTAAAATCTTTTGTTAAGGACATTAAACTGAATTATTCGATCTTATAAATCAAATGGCATGATTTAACAAGAAAAAAAATTTGTAGATATGAAATATTAGTCTACATAAAAAAATTAAACCAGGATATGTGGTTACATAAGTAATTATCTACTTATGTTCTTTTATTAATGAAAAATCATCTAATATAATTTTTTATATTATATATTTAAAAATAGCTGAATAATATCAAATAAATAGATAAATAATTATCATTAAATCAGAATTAGATAAACTTTCAAATTCCTAATAGGAAGCAAAAATGTGATTATTGAAATTTCTGTTATTTCTTCCATATATGAAGTAATATAATGAAATGAATGATTTCTCAAACTCTTAATTTAAAGTAATTAACTATACTTATTGATTAAAACTATTCAAATTTTGAGAGTAAAATGTAATTTGTTCAATAATACATTATCTGATTTTATGAAATTTAAAGTTTAAATTATAGTAACAGAATGAACAAAATTATTGTTTTATTTGAGAAAAATATTGTCTTTTTTTATTTTTAACTTATATTATCTCAAGTGTTTTCGGATAAAGGAAATATAGTAATCAATAATTTTCGTTTATAGAACATACTACTTTTGCATTATCTTTCAATTTCCTAGATATATTCAAATCCATCCTATAAGATAATTTTCCATTTAACAACATTCATTTTCTTTTTGAAAATTCACATTAATTTTCGTATTTTATTGCATTTTTGTAATATATAACTTAAAAAATTTGCAATCACTTATAATTAATGATTTAAAGCTAATTTCTTAATTTCCAATGCACTTCAATATAAAACTTGTAAATGAAAATGAAAACTTGTAAATAATGCTTTAGTTAGGAAATTATTCAATTATTAATAATAAGAAAATTTTTGAATTTAAAAAGAACACAAATTTACCTCAATATAAAAAAATCAAATAAATAGATTATAAATTTAAGGCGATCATAAATAGAGATATAAATTGCTAGCATAGAATGAAGTAAACATTACTAAGCAAATTTAAAGGATAAACCAAAATCAAGATTTTGGAAGAGATCTTGCTACAATAAAAAGATAAATATTAAAGAGATAATATATATTGGTAAATAGCTCAGAAAATGTAAAAATAATTTTAAACTATCTGGAAGTAAATAGTGATAGAATTACATAAGACAGATTAATAAAAAAGGTGGCTCTAATATAGATAATTATCTAATTAATCAAAGAACAAAATGGTGAATTTGAAAATGGATTGATTTAACAACAAGGGATGGAAATTTGAGATGATGATACATGAAATCTTAATCTGTTTTATTAATAAAACATATAATGTTCAAACTCTACTTTAAGTATATTTCCTCTTTTAATTTAGTATAAGAAAGGCAATAATGCAAAAATTCTTATTTTTGATCTATTTTGATTGGTATGCATGAATATATTTTTTATTAAACACATGCAACATTTTGAAATTCTTCATAATGTTGACTTTCTTCGTATATTACTAATCGAAAATTGAGATAACTATAAATCATAAACAAATCTCAAATCTTATCCATTTATCTGAACTGGATATTCTGCAAATTTAATGATTAATGAAATTAATTTATTTATTATTTTAATAATTAAAAAAAAAATCTAAACAACCATTTTTCACTCAATTATATAGGATATTGATTTTCTAATTTATTGCCTTGAAAAGTTGATTCCTAATTTTTCATTTCAACATAAAAAGTTTAATTCTTTTGATGAAAATATAAGATGTTAGCAAAGGTGAAGTCAAAAAGGGATATCAATTTTTAAATTGAACTTCTTTAGAAAACTATTAGGCTTTTAGTAATATTAAGGAATTTAAAATTAAAATATTGTTGATATTAAACCTCATCAAGCGCATAGTAATAATTCATTTCAATAAATCTCTTTTCCCATCAAAAGACCAGCTTCACTTACAATTAATCTAAGAAATAATCAATCTATTCAATAATCATATAATATTGTTTTTAAATTAATTGATAAATAGTTTATCTAAGTATAGAACTACTCAATTTAGTTGAGTTGAAGTGAATTAGAATAAAGTAATTGGACAATTTTAATTATTTTAAAGTGTGATTAAATATCAAATTAAATATTGGGACAATTGAAAAATAAAAACAAAATTTGAACTTTTTCAACCAGGTCCTTAAGTGAGACCTGGGGATGGTTCCTATAGACTTCAATCTTAATCTTATTAGAATGATCATAGAGACCATGAGAGTTGGAAGTCCATAGAAAAATGGCCTTAGATGGCTTCCCTAGGCTCTTTTTAAATAAAAGGTGGCATCTTTCTGGAGCCATACGTTAACATAATATAATTTAGAATGAGTTTGAAGAATACTATCTCATAGTAAAAACTTCTGGAGAGGCATGAGATAGTAGGTATGCTTGTTTCTCAATTTACAGTTACGAGGGAGGTATTTACCGTTTTGGAATGAAGCAAGAAACATTGTAATTGGATTTGAAACACTATTTAAACTCCCTTATGCATTTTAAAGAATTTTGAATCAATTATAAGAAATAGAAAGGCTCTTAAGTCGAAATTTACTTAATTAACGATACTGACAAAGATCTAAAAAAATTAACTTTTTCTTAGTAAATTATATCACAAAAAGGGGGGGGGGGGGTTAAACTCCTACGAATATCATAAAGAATCACATCTTGGCCAGGCAACGCATGTGCATCATTTGTCTACTTTAATAGGGCATCTTAGAGCATAATGAAAATCTAAACCATAATTTTTTTAGTATGTTTTTATTGGAAAGTTAAAAAAAACTATTATTAATATTATCTTTAAACATTCAATATACAAAATTTATGAATTGTATTATTTTTAATTAATAAATAGATTTGATGTCATCTAATTATTGTTATTAATTAATGAATTCATAGCAATCTTGTTAGTCCTATATATTGCAAATGTGAGATAATATATATCATAAATATAATGTGATTCAGCTTGAGCTAATGATTAATTAAGAAAAGTGCAAATACAATATGCAGAGTAGGATATATAATTTCATCTATCGAGTGATGTTACATACACATGGTCTATTAACAGATAGTACAAACAACTCCAAAACAAAGAAAGAATAGAGGGAATGCTTTTGGTGATCTTTGGTTTGGTTCAGTAGTTGAGCAAACCATAAACATCAAGTTCATCCTTATTTAGAGAAGCTCCACTCTTTTTTTTAGATAATCTCCTTTCTTTTTGATTTCACTTACCCATGTCTTATAATCGATGAGAAAATAATTGATATAAAAGAATATATTCAAAATTAACATTTCTATAACATCATCAATTGGCTATAAGTTTATTATACGAATTATTATTTAAGGCATTTTTGATAAATTTCTCTATATATACTTATAAATAATAATAGTTTTCATTAGAACTGCAAATCAAATATGCATTCTTAAATTATCAAATCGTGATCAAGATTTTGTTCAGACATATTCATATTTCTTAATATTGAGATAAAAAATCACAAATCCTAATGGCTATAATTATGATAAACAAGAAAAATACATGATCAATAATTCAAATTAAGTTATTATAATTCACATTATTCATATTACAATTAGTTATTCTATATTCTAAAAGAATCAAGTAATGTAATTGCAGAATTGAATTCTCCATAGCATTTTTTACCTCAATTACAATCAATTCCAAATCTACATATAGTTTTGACTTCTACTTAAAAAAAATACAGAAGATATATTTATTTATTTATAGTATAAAACTTAAAGAAAGAGTGATAAATATTCAATATTAAAATAAAAAAAGAAATTGAATAGATCAAAAAGCAGATCTAACTGAAATTTTGCTCAAGTTATGGATTCAGATGGCGATGTTTTAATTGAAGTTTCGAAAGCAGAAAACTTTAAGCAAAATTGGATACCTTTCAGAGAACCAAAATAAAAAACATTACAAATAATAAATTTTTATTTGAAATACCTTTTTTGATATTTTGTAGAGGTTAGACGTTAGAACTAAGAACATGAAAAAAATTACTGATGTCTTAAACTAATGAAAAGATCATGACTTCAATAAAAAAGACTATTCAAATGAAGTAAAATTAAGAATCCACATTAAGTCTAATTAATAGCATAAAGGATAATCGATAGATCATAAAATTTTTATAATTTTTAGATAACTTTACATCTATGGATAAAACTTTAAAATAATGTGGGTCTAATTAATTAAATTAATTAGTTAAGATGAAGTTGAACCAGAGAAACAAGAATTTTGAAAATATTAAGATCTAAAATACTTCTTTGGTAGGAATTTATTTTTTTTACTCCATTTTAAGGGTATTAGAATTTAAAAAAATTAATATAAGTGGGATGAATTTGAAAGGAGCATAATTATTTAATTGTAAATGGAATAACTTAAGAATCCATCAATTAAATAAATTCGAAGTTTATAGTGATATTCTATTATTTTCTTGCGATGCAAATAAGTCTACACTAATAATAAAAATTTAAATTAAATAGTCATAATAATTGAATTTATTCAGTATGCTTCTCTTTGATAGAAATATATTCATTATCTTCTTGATTTGGAGATAGTAAGGGGATGCTAAGAATAGAGTAGTATATTGAATAAACATAACTATTGTGTCTATTTAATTTAGATTTTTATTGTTCTGTGATTGAAGTATTCATTGGAATCCATTAGTTGATAGGATAATTGATGGAAATAGTGCAAAATAAAAACTAAATTAGATATATACTAAATGCTTATCCTCAAAATTTTTATTAATCCACATTAATAGCATGAAAATATTTATATATAAATATTTATTAATTATAATTTTTAATATGTATTTAGAAACAAGTGTGGTTTAAATTTTTTGGGGAAATGTTTAGATATATGCAAAAAAATTTAATCTGAAGCAAGATATTATTGACAATTGGAATTTACCTTTATAATTAAGAGCTTACAATGAGATGGCAGATTAAATGGCAAACCTTTAATTTGAATTTACAAAAATCTAACTTTATCACTTAACCTTCTCAAAAAATTTCAAGAGAATTTCACATGAAGACGAGTAACCCATCATTCACTCCTAAAGGCACTATCTATTAATAGATAGAAAAAAACTTTCAAAAAGGATGGCTAGAAGAAGTTAATGCAGGGTTGAAATATAGAAAAAATAAATAGTATCTGGGATGATTTGAAAAATAATTAAATCCAGAGAAAGAAATGATACAAAAGATTCTAAAGAATTGAAAATAACATCATAGAAAAATTGAATTGAAGAATAAAGGAAGTTGATTTACATTAAGAAGGAGTTCATTAATAATATTAGTTATTCGTATAATCAAATGCTGAACCATGATGGAATGAATTGAAAGGCTTTATAGTAGAGTACAACTACTAAGATTATTCCTTATTGATAGCTAACTAAGAATATTATGATTTTATATAAATTAGATCAAATTTGATATTATAATAACTAAGTAAATTTTCTATAAAATGAAATAGAAAAATAGATTTAAGAATTTATGATTATTATAATTTTATTGGATATTGATGATTCATTCATATTGACTTGTTAGAATTTTATCTTATTTCTTTATTCTTGATTTAAAGATGTATTTTTCTATTTCATCAATAATTTCTATTTCTACAGCCTCAATTAAAGCTTTTGCAAAGGGTTTTCTGGTTTTTCTTAAATTTTCTAGTTCCTAAAGAGTACTTTACATAGCTGATTCCATAATCTAGATCTTCTGACTACAATAATTTTGTTGGTTCAAAAAATTTTTAAACTGATTCATAAATTGATTTGAAACTGTGATTCCATCATCATTAATCATTTATTAATTTTTCATATAGTTGATAACATTTTACACCAATTATTTGGGTTCTTAACCAAATATTTATTTTAATTATTATTCAATTTATTCAATTTACTAAGTACTCACTTAATTCTGCATTTATTATTGTAAGTTGAATAATTATTAGTTTTGTAACTTAAATCTCTCTATATGAGCATTAGAATGGGCTTAATACTATTCCTCAAAAATTATTTCTATTGGCTCTATGAATTAGCATTTATCACTGAATATATTGCATATATCCATGATTTCTGGTCTGATTACTTTCTAATACAATCTATTCATTGATATTTCGTCTGCTATCTTTACATTATTACATTCATCTTAAATATCTTAATCATTTATATCGAAGTTTGAATTTAAATATTTTTAAATGTTGATACTGGTTATTTATTGATTCACATTCTAAGGATTGCATAATTTTTCAAAATACAGATCCAAAGTTAGTATTTTTTTTTAAAGTTCAATGTCTTTGGAATAAATTATTTAAACAAATTTTTGAAAATTACTCAATTTCATTATTTAGTGTTATTTCATATAATTAATATTCTTGAATTTTGCTTTATATCCCATTATATTTTCTATTACCCTATATAGAACAAATTTCTTCAACTTCTTATTTTAAATTCTCTTCTTATTTTTTAGTTTTACATTTAGCTATCTATAATTTTATATATTTTTTTGTTAATTCACAAAAACTATTTTGAAAGCCTTTAACTGTTCCTTTTGATTATTAAAAACATTAATTAATTAAATCATATAGATTTTGTCCCGTACTTTCAGAAATAGTTCCATTTTAAACTTAATCTCCTATTACTTCTGTTGCTAAATTTAATATTTGATGATAATTCTATGTTCTTAAAGCAGTTTCTTATATCATATGCAAAGTTTGATATTAATTTTAGATGTTTACTTTATCTAAATCACTTAACCAAAAACCTGCTTTTTTCAATCCATCTGCTGTAACAGTTGGGATTTAATCCAAAAATTCATTAATTCCAATTTATTTTATTGTTTAAAATGCTTGGCCTCCGATTTACAGAGCTTCCTTAATTCCAGAAGGTCCTGCTAAGACTAATGCTGATGCAATATTGATCATTTTGTTTTATCCCCAAGCTCCCCAATCAATATTTAATCCTTTCCATGCTGCTGCTACAGAATAGACCATATCGGAAATTCCTCCAATTATAAAAGTTTTTCCTATAGGTAAGGCAGCTCCACAAGTTAATGCACTTATTGCACATCCTACAACAAACTGAACTGCTCCAATTACAAACATGGCTAGATATTGCCACCATTTTTTTTTCTTTCTTTCTTTTTTTGTTTTTATAACTTTTCCTAACAAAGGTAAGGGTCCGTCATTTATCACTTCTTGTTTATCTTTAGATGACATTTTTTCATCACCGTCTTCATTTTTTTCATTGAAATGCAAAAGGGCCCAATTTACATCAATATTTTCTTTTTCAGGATTAAATGTATTAAAAGTATTTAAAGTTTCATTAATATTTTAAATAAGTTATTCGTAAACTTTAATATGATTCTTGGCTTTTGAATCACTATTATCTAATTTTTGTTAATTATTTTAATTTTAATTTTGTATATTTTGATTATTCACATCTTATTATATTTCTTGATTAGAAGTATTATTTTGTATATTTGAAATATTGTTATGATTATCTTAGTTAATCTCATTAGATTATTAAAAAGAATTCATTTCAAGATCTAGTTATGGCAACATTTAAGTTTATTCTTCATTATTTGATTGTCTAATTTCTTCAAGTTTTTTTGAAAATTATTCTATTTATGATCTATTTAATTTAAATGCAGTTGAAAATCCTTTTTCATCATCAATTTTGTTTTGAAATAATTCTTTTGCTTTCTACAATGATTATATTCCTTGTTGAAAATTTTTCTGTTTTATTTCATAGAATCCTTAATAATAATATGCAGAAGGATCATTTTCTTAAATTTGAATAGCCCTCCTAAACATATCTAAATTATCTCTTTCCAATCCTTACAAAATCAAATACTTTGGATTTTAAGAATCATTTTAGTTCAAAATTGTTTCAATTTCATTTTCCTTTAATCCAGTCTCTTGATGTTCTTCCAAATAAAGGCCCCATTTTTCTTCCAAAGCTTTGAAAGCTGCATGATTCTCGTTGAAACAAACCATGCTTTTTGCAATTCTGCAGAACCTTTCAAAACATCTATCCTCATTTTCTAATCTTTTCATTTCCAATTCTATTTCATCTGAATAAAATTTCTCATTAAAATTTCTTAAATATACAAGGAGGTCTAAAGTTGTAAAGGTTGTATTAACATTTCTAATATAATAAGCTTTAACATCTTCAATAGTGTTTAATTTTAATTAACCAACATATAGATTTTCCTCATAATTAACTATAAGTTGAGCTGTACCTTTTTTACCTTGTCTTCCTGTTCTACCAAAACCTTATTGTTAAATTCTGATATTTCTAGGTAAAAATGACATAATCACATGTAAACCTCCATTATCTTCTAATTCTTCGTTTGTAATAAGATCTGTTCCTCTTCCAGCCAAATTAGTTGCAATTATAAGAGAATTAGGCTTTATATCATGATCTATTTATTGGCTGTCATCATAATATACTACAGATTTTAGATTATAATTTTGCAAATGTAATTAAATTTTATTGACGTCTTAAATTGTCCTATTAATAATAAGAACTGCTCTCTTGTTGTTCATTTATTATTAAACAGCCTATAGAATAGTGTCTTTCCATTCCTTTTCCTTTAGGGCTGCATATCCTAGCTCTTCTTTTAATTGTCTCTTTTTATAAGGAGGCATGAAAACAAAGTCTAAATTGTACTACTTAGCCAATAGATTCTATGTAACCTATGAACCTAATGTACCTGTCAACCCTAAAATTTTATTCTTGTATCTTTTAAAGAAAGTAATATTCGATAGATAGTTTGTGTTAATTGATATAGGGCTAATAGGAAGATTATGCTTTAATTATACAAATTGATGTAATCCTTTTTCCCATTGCATATTATTTTTATGAATAACTCCTGTGTTCTAAAAATCAATTATTCTAACATTATTATTTTCTATTTTGTAATGACAATCTTCATGGAGATTATATTTTGCCTGAATGGCATTTTCAATCCATGTTTTCTTCATGAACTCGATATAATTTAATCTGTATTTTGGTATAAATTCGTTTAATACATCTTTTAACTAGAGATTCAAAGTAGATTCTACATATTCTTTCAAATCAACACTATAATAATTTTCTTCATCAATAATCATAACTTTCTTTTCTGTTGATAAGTTTGATTCTGCCTTACAGATTTCATCCCAGATTAATCTGAGAACCTTAGTTAAATCAAGCATTCCTGGCAAAGGAGAACTTAATAATGTCTTATTGCTATTTCCATCAATAAGCATAGAATCAACTTCATCAACAATAATATATTCTTATTTTCTATTACCCATAGTACCTCTTTCTTAATATTCATGTCTTAAAATATCAGCTTAAAAACTATGAGGATCTCCATAAACTACTTTTGAATTATAACATGGTAGCATTCCTTTAGTTATACTTTTTGATCCACCAATATTGTGAGATACTGTGACTGAAAATGAGCTATAAAATTCTTTCAATTATTCGGCATCTCTAGTTGCCAAAACAGGGGAGCTAGTTACTACATCAACATTAGACTATTTCTTTTAATTCAATAAAATTGCAAGCATTGCTATGATTAGAGTTTTCCCTTCCCCAGTATAAATTTAAGCCAAACGTCCTTAATTAAAATTATGATTATATAATTCTATTACTGCCAATAATTATGCTGGTCTTGGATAATATGAAAAATATCCTTTTACTTTTAAGCACAAAAATATTAAATCCTCATACAGTAATTCTGGAGAGCTTGTAAAATTATTAAAGTTGAAATCTAGTTCTTATTCTTCATTGAGTGATGAATACACTCTTTAAAGTAAATTTGATAATTATTCATTAGATCTCTGATTAATAGAATTATACTCCTAAAAGAGATCCTATATTTACCAATTGTTATTCTCAATTAGCTCCTCCATATTTTCTTATTATTCATTTTATTAATTTTATTTTTTGTGAATTTAAATTGATAGAATTACTTGAAATTCTATAAAAAACTTATATATAATAATTCCATATTTTCAAAGTTCATTTGAAGGCCTCATTTTTATCTTTTAGAAAGTGATAAAGTAAAAAATTTAGAAGAATCAATATAATTTTATAATACTCAAATTTTTCATGCTGAAAATTTTTTTTAATGAGATTTTGAATCTTTAATTATAAATTAAATTTCGATTTCAGATTTAAAAATGTTAGTTACTTATATTATTCATTCTCAAATATATTTTTATTATTTAAAAATATAAGGTTTTGAATTTTTCTATTTTTCATAAATTTGTTAGAAAGCTACAATTTTATTTAAGATCACTATAATATGAATATTCTAATTGTAATTCGATTTTCTAATTAGTTGCTGTTTTGATTTTATTTTATCTGAAAGAAGAGATACATACAAAAGACATTTTCATTAAAAACTTATCATATATACTTGAATGCAAAAAAATCTTTATATTATAATAACAATATAAAAGATAATAGTATTAAGAAAATAATAAGAAGCTTAGCAAAAGAAAATGCTTTGAAATCTTCTCTTTATATATATTACCAAATAATCCAATAAAGGATTCTTACTACGATATTCTAAGTAGTTACTGAAAGATGGATAATCCATAGTTCAAGAAGCTATTGCATTTCATCTTTTCCTAAATTTTTCTAATTAAGAAGTAGCAATAAGTAAAATTAGTTGAGTTTAGCTAAGATTAAGAAGTAAGTTATTTGAATTTCAACATTGTCATATAATTAATTGATGTATTTTCCCCATCTCAGAATGATAGAAACTTAAAAAGCTTATGCTGAGTGGCATCTAAGTTATTAAGAGTACTCATTTTATATGGCCTAAATCTATAATTCAATTCTGAATGTAAATAAACAACAAATAAAACAAGAGTGTCTTTCTGAATGATTTTGTCCTTATAATATGATAAAAAGATGATTAAAATTCTTATTCCAAAAATTTCACGATTTCCCTAAAAAAGCACTTATATTCATTATAAAAATATTAAGTTCTGATTCTTTTCTCATTTGAAATATCATATCAATAAGCCACGTTAGATTAGATTGAATCCATTCATATTCAGAAATTGAGTAAAAAATAAAAAGAAATAAAACCTCCCACTAAGTTTGGTAGAATGTAAATGCATACAAAAATGAATGTTTTAGTGATATCGCTCAAACTATATTCACAAAATTTTACAATAATTTAGTATATTCCCAAAAAAAACAATTTATATGAATGCCATGAATGATTGCCATATTATACTAACATAATGAATTTCTATAGAGAATATCTAAATTATAGTTTTTCATTAGATTAATCACTATAAAAAGCAATTAAGTGAGAAAGCCATAGTTTGTATGGGATTTCCTTTTAAATTATGTTAGTTGATTAAACAAACGAAAAGTCTTTATTAAAAGTAATTATAGCTGTTAATATTTGCATTTGATTAATAAGCATCTTTATGAGGATAGCAATATTTGCAATATTTTTTTTAATTATTGATCACACTCAATAAAGAAATCTTCTAATATAATAACAAAAACTTGCGCATCCTTTGTGATGTGAAATATTATTTTTTTTAAATAGAGGAAAAAAATCAGTATTGTAACATTTTATTCTCCTAAACTTCATAATTGAGTTAGCAATCATTATAAGTGAATACGATTGGCCTATTATTTAAAGAATAGAAGCTTTGTTTATGGAATCTATTATCAAGATGAGGTTATTTTTGAAATAAAATTCTGAAGTGAAAATCATGCAAGATGATAGACTATTTATGATTGGATTATACATAATTGTAACTGATTCTATTAATAATTCTTATATTACAATCGATTCGATATCTTTTAGAGTGATGCGATGGAGAATTTTGTTCCTAATTCACTCTCAAAAGAATTCTCAAATTAATGGAATCACTATATTTAATAAAGTTTATCCTATAGAAGATTTATTTACTTCCAAAATTAACACTTTATCTATCTTAATTGTGTTTTTCAAAATCATACAATTTTAAATTGCCAATTGAATCTCGATAAAATTTGCTTTTTTTTCAATTTTTTTTTGTCAAAGGGAACTTTAACCTTAATAATCCAAAATCTTGGTAAGAATGTTTCATAAAAGGATATCAAGCTATTTTATTTTAATATAATATTAATTTCATAAATTATAATTCTTGAATAATTTCAGCTTTATTTGAAAGGACAGTTATATATATAATTCTCTCAATAACTATAGTTCTCCAACCATATTTTTATTTAAGAAACAGCTTTAAGAAAAGCAAAAAATATAATTTTAAAAAATTCTTAATCGTAATAAAATATAATATAAATTAAAAAATAATGTGGCAAAAATTGCTGCTATTCTTATATTACATGTATATTTTAATTTCCTTAGTGAAAAATAGTGAGTAATATCCATAATTATCCCAACCTATTTCTTATAACCCAAATATTTCATAGATACCACAATTATGTCCAATAAATATTTTATTTACTTTTCCTGATTTTACATTCCAAATATTTAATAGAGCACAAAACTATGTGCTTCATCGCATGGAAAACAGAATTATCAATATGATATTTATAATTTTTACTTTTTTTCTTCCATTAAAATTTATCTTTTTTTCTCATGATATGCTAGAAAATCTATAACATAAAATGAGTAATATTTCATTTCTTATTAAGTTTTATTTTTTTTTGAATATTTTCATTATTTAAGATGTTTTCTTTTTTATTTTAATATTACATTCCACATCTTAGTTATTTGAATATTAGCATTTGAATGTAAAGCCAAGAAACGGAAAGAAAATAATTACGTGTTCATATTGTGATATCTATTTGTGTACATCCCCTTATTCTTAAATGTGCATTGATTGGATATCAGAGAAGGCTTTTGTAGCTTATAGAGGCACTCTTTAAAAAGTATATGGTGAATGCTTCCCTGATCTTTGATCTTCTGATGTTAATCAGGAGGGGAATAGAGAAGATTGTTGAATAGAGAAAATATGCCATACAGTTAGCAAGTATGACAATTATTCACATCATAGTTGATTTCATTCTCAATAAATAATTATTAAATACATTAAAAATATAATTTATATGCCTCTGATTTAAATATCGAAATATCCAGTTTTATAATTTATATTATTTAAAAATTTAACGAATTTAACATAATAGCATTTTATTCAATCAATTGCATTATTAAAAAATTTCAAATTATTTAAAAATATCATAAGATTATTGGAAATCTAATATTCTTTGATAACAGAATATTGAATGTAAGTAACCTTCAAATTTGTAAGTATTCTAATTAGATAAAATCAATAATGATCCATCAAGGATTAGATTTATAATCTTCAAAAAGGGTTGGGTTTGTGATCTTGTCTTAATGATAAATTTATAAGTAATTGTATTACGCTAAAGTCATTTTAATCCTTTGTAATTTATAAAGAATCATAGCTTAATTCTAATCATTAAAATTTAGTTTCTTAATTGTTTTAAAATTATATAAACTTTAACATTTAAGAATGTATTACATTTTTTAAATTATAGATCTTTAATTAATTCTTAGTGAGAGTAGATTGCTTGAATTTTTAGAGGAAAATATACCTTTTTAAGATAATAACTTTTAAAGTCAATATTATTATTTGAGTTTTATCCCTAAATTTACCTAAACTAAGTTAAATATTTTTATGAATAATTGAGTTGACAAACTCAGATTTGACCAATGTTTTGAATTTTATTATTGAGAATCTATTTAGTTCTCAGTTTAGTAATGTATTTAAAAGTTGGTAGTTCATTATTTGTCATCATAATCAGAGAATTTAGAAAATTAATGTTCTTTTATTTATATAGTGTTATTAAATATAATGATAGTGATATGATGCTTTAACATTCAAAACATCTCAATCTTCTTAAAATTCGATATTAAAAAATGATAAAATGATTAATGATTCTGTAATCTCTATCTTGCTTAATGAACTAAACTTATTTTCTCTAATTTTAACTAATGATGATTTTTGGTTGACACTATTTTTCTAAAAACAATCTAAAAGTAAAAAAATAATACAATGTTTAAACTTAATTTATTTAGGAACAAGTGATGGGTTTAATGCAGATTCATTCTTGGATAAAGTAAATGGTAGGATAAATTTACTTATGATATTAAAATCAAAATGTTAAAACATTTTTGGTGGTTATACTTCTTGTAAATAAATAAAAAATAATTGCGGATATATATAAAAGATGACACATTAGTATCATTTATGTTTTCATAAAAAAAAAATTAAATTTACCATCTAAAACATAAAGTTAATAATATGCTTTGTGGCCCTAAACAATTTATGGGCAGGTATTTGGTACTAAAAATGGAAATGATATTTGTATTAAATAAGATTTTTAAGCTGGGCATTCTTAATATAAAATATACAGCCCATCAACCCATTTATTTGGTTAATCAGCACCAAAAATTGTAGAGTGTAAAATTTATGAATTATAATTTGTTTGAATATTAGATTTTAACAGTATCATTTTTATTATAGATTATAATCAATACTGTATTTTTCTTATTGAACTATGAATATACTCATTTGATATCATTATTTTTAATCAAGGTTGCCATTATTATGCTCTAATTTTAATGTTTCAAAATTAATCAGTTAGGCGATTCTCTTATTCTTTCTTGCATTCTATAATTTCGATTAGATATATAGTTTGAGTTTTAAATTATATAAGAAAAACCAATAATCATCAATCAAATATTTATTGAATAAAAAATATAATAAGTTCAGATGATAGTTTTCCATTTAAATAGGATGGCGGAGAGATTTCATGATGTATTATATTTTAATTGAATTCAGTTATAATTGAATAATTTAATTTTTAAGAATATACTTAACATTGCTTTTACTATAATTATCAATAAAGGCATGTAAAAAATAAGGTTTTTTTTAATTATACTTGATTTTTTGTTTTAAATCTAATATTTCAAGATTTTCTTAACTTCTATTAAACATCATAGATACTTCTTTTTGAACTACTTATTTTCTTTTAATTTTCTCAAATTTAAGCTTTATTTTAAGCTTATATTAAGAAAATGGAAATTTTCGACTAAACTGACTTTATTGTTATGAAAATAATTTCTAATAATCAATCAATATTAAACTATTTGTATTTAAAAACATGGTCTCGTAAAATAGGATGCTTTAGGACTATTTTGATGCAAGAGCTAATTCTATATAACTAAATTAATTCCTATTCAATCTTAAATTGATGAAATCTTTGGATCTATTTAAATTTGCATTATTTTCGTTTGGAGTTCTGACTCTATTGTTATAATTAAATAGTTTAGCTAAAATTAATTCAATTATTTATTTTTTTTTGAATTTGATCATTCTTTTCAAGCCCTATTTTTCTATCCATTTGATATTTTTTAAGAAGAAGAATTAGAAATGAAAAATATCAAGCTCGCATTTTTGGGATAGAATAATCTGGATTCATTCATTTTCCTTATTAAAATTAATAAATCTGTAAGTGTTTATTTAAATCTTTATAAGTCAAACATAATTAATTTCTTAATTATTTCTATTTAAACGAATAATCCAAAACTGGTTAGATTGTTCTACCATCCTATGTAAGTGCCAAAAAATCTACATTGATATGTTTTATATGTTCAAATATTGTATTCTAATTTTAAAAGCTTGGGAACAATATAAAAACCATTAATTAAGATACTTTATTATTGATTGAAATTGATTTTTTGAATTACTTCATAAGCAAGCGAGTTGATTCCATTATTCATAATACAAAAAGATTTTTATTAATAGGCTCTCTTTTACAAGGGGATAATGCTCAAAAAGATGTCCCTTTTTTGGATTTTAATCCAATTAACTAATTGTCAAAATTATTATCTATCTTTCAAAAATATTCTGCCTTCAACCCCTATAGAGTACTTAAAAATATAATCTATGATCCTTTTATTATTTTCTTTGTTAATCTTATAATATAAAGTATTTTAATCTAACACACAGGTCAAAAAAATTTTTGATTTTGGTTTTACATTTTATCAAACTATTAAATATCATAACGATTATTGAAATATATTGTTTCCATGAATAAAATCATAGTGTTTGCAACCGAGTATATTTCTAAATATATATTTTGATCTTTTCTTATATTAAAATTCTTATTACAAATATAATCAAATTAAAGCAAAATATCCTATCTATCAATTTTCATGAAGAATTTATTTTATGTATATCGAGATTAGCTAGAAAATAAAAACTGTTACCCTGTTTTCTAAATAGGAACTATTCAGTTTCTTAATAAACTTGATAGAGATTTGATTTACAATCAACCAAGATCCTGCTATCTTAAGGCTATTTCATTAACTTAATATTTTTAGCTTGGATTGCTATGTTTTTAATTATTTGCGATAAAAAAAATTATTTTCAGCAAATCAAATCTACGAGATGTCCATCAATACATTTTAATTGTAATTTTCCACTATATTTAAATTAGGTTTCGAATGAGAATGTGTGTAGACTTTTAGGAAATTTTACAAGTAATTCTCCTTTTAAAAAGTAACACTTTAACAATATCATACAGTTATAATCAATATTTAATACAATTCTATTATTTGCTTCTTGCAGATAATTCATTCTTTAATAAGAAACTGGCATAACCATAATTTATCTACTCGATAATTTTTATTAAAGATATGTAAGAATATATGTAAAAAACATTATTAACAAATGAAATTATATTAAACCTAAATAAAAAAAAGTGTAAAATCAAATATAACAAAAAAATTGATAAATTATATTTATAATATTCATGATTATTTTCAAATTAAAATAGTCTTCTATTATGGTTGCAAAACATAACCTCCAGATTATGATAGTAGCTACTTTAAATCAATACCTTAATGAGTTATGAATTCTCCATTAAAGATTAAAGAACCAAATGCTTAAAATATAGGATATTTGTATATAAGAAGAATTGTAATATTAGAACTAACTAATAAAATGAAAATAAATACCACCTTCTTCATAAGATAGATTTGGAAAAAGAGATGTTTTAAATTGAGCTACAATATCTGTTTAACTTTTATCTGAGGGTTAAATTTATTGTTATTTTATACAATCCCATAATCTTATAGATTTATCATCACTGCCAGATGCTAATTAAGTTCCATCAGGAGAGAAGCTTACTGATAGTACACAACCATTATGACCCTCCAACTTGGCCTTTTATTATCCTTACTAAACATCCCATAATCGAATAGAATTATCATCACTGCCAGATGCTAATTAAGTACCATCAGGAGAGAAGCATACTGATCGGACATAATCACTATGACCAACTAATTTAGATATTTATTATCCAGTCTTAATATCCCATAAACAGATAGATTTATCACCACTCCCAGATGCTAATTTAGTACCATCAGGAGAGATACAGATTGATTTAACAGAACTATAATGACCATCTAATTATAATTATTGCTATCCTTTCTTAACATCCCACAATCGTATAGTTTTATCATCACTACCAGATGCTAATATAGTACCATTAGGAGAGAAGAACNAAAAAGTAACACTTTAACAATATCATACAGTTATAATCAATATTTAATACAATTCTATTATTTGCTTCTTGCAGATAATTCATTCTTTAATAAGAAACTGGCATAACCATAATTTATCTACTCGATAATTTTTATTAAAGATATGTAAGAATATATGTAAAAAACATTATTAACAAATGAAATTATATTAAACCTAAATAAAAAAAAGTGTAAAATCAAATATAACAAAAAAATTGATAAATTATATTTATAATATTCATGATTATTTTCAAATTAAAATAGTCTTCTATTATGGTTGCAAAACATAACCTCCAGATTATGATAGTAGCTACTTTAAATCAATACCTTAATGAGTTATGAATTCTCCATTAAAGATTAAAGAACCAAATGCTTAAAATATAGGATATTTGTATATAAGAAGAATTGTAATATTAGAACTAACTAATAAAATGAAAATAAATACCACCTTCTTCATAAGATAGATTTGGAAAAAGAGATGTTTTAAATTGAGCTACAATATCTGTTTAACTTTTATCTGAGGGTTAAATTTATTGTTATTTTATACAATCCCATAATCTTATAGATTTATCATCACTGCCAGATGCTAATTAAGTTCCATCAGGAGAGAAGCTTACTGATAGTACACAACCATTATGACCCTCCAACTTGGCCTTTTATTATCCTTACTAAACATCCCATAATCGAATAGAATTATCATCACTGCCAGATGCTAATTAAGTACCATCAGGAGAGAAGCATACTGATCGGACATAATCACTATGACCAACTAATTTAGATATTTATTATCCAGTCTTAATATCCCATAAACAGATAGATTTATCACCACTCCCAGATGCTAATTTAGTACCATCAGGAGAGATACAGATTGATTTAACAGAACTATAATGACCATCTAATTATAATTATTGCTATCCTTTCTTAACATCCCACAATCGTATAGTTTTATCATCACTACCAGATGCTAATATAGTACCATTAGGAGAGAAGAACACTGAATACACATTCTAACTATGACCCAATAATTTGGATATTTATTATCCAGTCTTTACATCCCACAAACGGATAGATTTATCACTACTTCCAGATGCTATTTTTGTACCATCAGGAGAAAAGCAGACTGAATAAACCCAACTACTATGCCCATTTAATTTAAACTTTTATTGCCCTTTTTTAACATCCCATACACAAATATATGAGTCACTACTACACGATGCTAAAATAATACCATTAATAGAGAAGCATACTGAATAGACAATTCCACTATGCCCATTTAATTTAGACTTTTATTTTCCAGAGTTAATATCCCATAAAAGGATAGAACTATCATAACCACCAGTTGCTAATGTAGAACCATCAGGGGAAAAGCATACTGATTGGACAGATTTACTATGTCCATCTTAGTAGAATCTTTGCTGTCCTGCTTTATAATCCCATAAGCGGATAGACTTATCGCCACTACCTGAAGCTAATTTAGTGCCGTCAGGTGAGAAACATAATGTATACACATAATCACTATGACCAACTAATTTAGATATTTATTCTCCAGTCTTAATATCCCATAAACAGATAGATTTATCAGCGCTACAAGATGCTAATGTATGGCTGCCAAGGCAAAAGCATACTGATAAGACTTCCATACAATGGCCATCTAATTTAAACTTTTGTTGTCCTGTTTTCACATCCCATAAACGAATACATTGATCTTTACTATTAGAAAAGCTTCCACTACAAGATGCTAATGTAATTCCGTCAGTAGAAAAGCATAATGAATTGACACAGCTTTTGTGACCATTTAGTTTCATTTTTTTTTTTTTGGTCTTAACATCCCAAAACAAGATTGTCTTATCATCACTACCAGATGCTAATGTAGTACCATCAGGAGAAAAACATATTGAACGGATACAACTAGTATGACCAATAAATTTTGTTTTTATTTATTCTGTTTGAATATCCCATAAACAAATAGATTTATCAGCACTACCAGACGCTAATGTATTACCATCAGAAGAAAAACATACTGAATGGACACAACTAGTATGACCATACAATTTTGTTTTTAATTTTTCTGTTTGAACATCCCATAAACAAATAGATTTATCAGCACTGCCAGATGCTAATGTAATACCATCAGGAGAAAAGCACATTGATTTAATATAATCCCTATGACCATCTAATTATAATAATTATCTTCCTGTATTAACTTCCCATAATCGGATTGAGTCATCTCTGCCACTATAAGGACTTCCACCACCAGAAGCTAATTTAGATCCATCAGGAGAAAAGCATATTGAATTGACACTACCTTAATGACCTTCTAATTTATGTAACTAATTTATTTTTAAATTCTCCCATTTACAATTAAATAATTATGCTCCATTTATATTTATTCCACTTATATCAACGTTGTTAAATTATGATCCATTTAAATTACATTTGAAGAAATTAGCTCCAATTAAATCAGTATTCTTAATCCTAATATTTTCAAAAGATTGTTTATAAAGAATAACTTTCATTTCTACTAATAAAATGAGTGAGTTTGATCCACATTAAATAAATTTTTCATCTATTGCAGTAAGGCGAACTAAGAATTTTAGAAATTCAATAATCTTCTTTTCATCTTATATTTTTTTAATTAGATCTTGTCTAATCAAAAATTTTCCTTCAGCTGAAAAATCATTTTTATAAAAGTCATGATCTTTTAGTAAACTGATAATATTAGTTATTTTCTTAATGTTATTTCTTAAAACTTTCAACTTCTTTTCCTTATCTGCAAGTGATAAGTTCTCTATTTGTAAAATGACTATTTCCAAATTTTTTTGATTCTCTTAATTAAAAAGATATCCTAAACAGTCTTAAATTTTCTCTTTTCTAAAAATTTCAATAATAATGCTGAATATCTCTTCATCAATATCTTTTGATAAAGCTAAAAATTCCCATATATCTTTTTTTTGTTTTAAACTGCAGATCATATATTTAAAAAAAAAATAATCGAATTTGTATTACTTTTTTTTCCTTCTCATTTATTTGAAGAATAAAGTTTTTATTGTATTATTATTAAGAAGTAGATCTGACTTTGCTATTATTGTAGAAAATATGGAGAGTTAGAAACAAATAATTTTATGCATAGATTGATAATACTCAGAATATAGAACAAGTTTTTCTTCTATACAAATAAAGATTATTGATAATTTCTTAAGATGATTGATTATGTAAACCTTTATCCAAACTTTACTTTCTATTTTGTTCTTAAATTTCAATCAAATTAAAAATATATGAAAAACCAGATGCCATACTTATTTTCAAAATCCTAAGATAGGCTTAATATATAAATTTATATTGAGATTTCTTTCGAAATCTAATATTAAGCTTCAACATAGTTAATTATCTTTTCATTTAAAAAATAAATAGATAAATTATTATTCAAAAGCTCAATAATTGTTTTCTTAAATATAGTATTTATTAAAGTAATATTTTTATAGAAGAAGTGATTTACTTTATTAAGGGAAAATAGAAAATTCTAATGGAAGATGGGAAAATTATTTTAGAGTATAATATAAATCCAAAGATATGAAGATATACATAAATTATAATTATTTATAGCTTATATAATTAAATAAATAAATAATTAGAAGAATAGGATATAAAAATCACAAAAAGGATTTAACATGGGATATTAATTAATATCAACTTTTATTTGAACCTTACGCGTTTAATTATAGATTTAACAAGAAGATAAATATCTTGAAAATCATTTACTTTTTGGACAATTAAATATGATATACTAGTATTTTTATAAAAATTAGTATATAAAATATAATTTCCTCTAAATAATACCCATTTTTTATCTAAAATAATCTATCAAGTAATTTAATTGAAAATAAATTAGTAAAAATTCTAATCTATCATTAAAATGATTCGATCATAAATTTTAGTTAGATCTGGAGCTTCAGGTGTTATCATCATATAATATAAATTGGGGTTCGAATTAGGCTACATTAAAGATAGTGCCATTTAGTAATAAATTTAAAAATTAGAGATTATGAGGATACTTTGGGGTTTTAGATAATAAAGAATGGAGAATATAGTCTATATGAAATGATAGTAAAGAGGCTTGCTTAATACATTAGATTCAAAGATTTAGTCGTAAAATAGATAAGAGGAGGAATTTTCATAGATCTCAAATGTTAAAGGCTTTTCTGGAACAAAATAGAAATACTAGGCCATTAATTTAGAAATGAGAGTTCACCTATAAATTAAATTGAATTTTTTCAGAAATGAAATCAGTGAGACACAAAATTATTAGTGTAATAACTAATTTGAATCTTTTGTCCTAAAAGTGTATATCACTTGTTTAATTTTCTTTGAGTCTTTTGAAAATATTTTGTTTATGGATTAAGATTTCCCTTGATTCATAAATTTTTTACCTCTAAACCATATTTAGACACAATATCTATAATTCATAATTATACATTTGAAGAAGAAACCCAATTTAAATTAAATTTTCATTAATTGTGGCATGAATCTCTAAATTGATTAATTGGCAGATTTATTAAACTCGCACTTATATCAAAATATAAATGCTTTTGCTTTCTGGAAAATGCTTTATTTATTTTATTTCTTGTCAGAATTATAAAATTGGAAAAGGCAAATGGCTTTATTTTTGTAATAAATAATCATTGAAAATTGATCGTAATTTCCCTCTTAGAAATCTTATTTATTTATTATTTACATCTAATGACAAAAGGCTTTAAAAATATAAATTATTCTATAATTCTACTCAGAATTAAGTTCTAATATTAACCACTAATCTTTAAATAATCGAAATAAATTAGAATTATTATCCTTCAAAAGTCTTCTTAGCCTCAATCGCTCATGATGTTGCAATATATACTTCATTAACAAGTAATACTTTTCCAACTTTAAAAGTAGAAAAAAATATATTCTGAGATTAAAATTGCAAATAAAAAATATAAATCAAATTTCTGATGAATAATATAATAATAATTATATAAACTTGAATATTCTAAATAAAGTGAGGAATTTAATTGCATAAAAAATACTTTAATTATTGATAATATTTATGCATATAATTAGTTATTGGAATAATATAATAATAGTAAAATTAAAGTTAACTAGTTTAAATTAAATTGAATAAAACATATTCTATAAAAATTGCTCAAAACACAAATCTCTTATTTAGCAAAAATATCATAATAAGACTTTTTTGGAGGTTTAAAATTCTGTCGTAACATCAAATAGCAGAATAGTCTTATCTCCATTAATCATATTATAAAATAGTTCCATCAAAGGAAACAAAAATCAAAATTCGATGGACATAGTGGTGATGTATATTCAGGATACTACTCTGACCTTAACATCCCATAAACAGATAAACTTATCATCCCTAAGATGCTAAGGTATTATCATTTTGAGAAGCATCTCTCTAAACAGCTCCACTATGATCATCCAAATTTGTTTTTTGTTATTAAGTTTTGATATCACATAGATGTATAAATATATTCCAACAAACCCTCTGATCTTATTTAATTAGATGCTGTCAAGCATCCAAATAGATTTCTGTGTAAGATCAGATTTTGAAAAAAGCCATATAATCCCTGAAATTTTCTTTTTTCTAAACATTTCAATCATCCCAAAATGAATATTAATTCATCAATATTTATTGATGAATCTAAAATCTGATAAAGATGTTCTTTTATTCATAACCATTGTCTTCTTATTAAATTTGTTTTAATCTAAACTATTAAAATAATATTGCTACATGATACATTCTAGGGATCATAAAGGATGATTAAAAAATTATTTCAATGGTGTATTTCGAAGGTTGAGGGAACACTTATGAGGGTTGTTTAAACATATAAGCAGATTCCTAGAAATAAATTATTTAAAATAAGATATTTTTAATTCAAAATAAAATGCTTTTATAATAGGAAAATTCAGTATCTTTAATAAATTTTTGTATTGTCGTTTATAATTGATCAGAAAAAAATATGGAGAAAACTTAAATTTATTTTTTTCATCAACAATGAATATAACTAGCTCAATATTAAGAAATGTATTTCCATAGAGATAATAGAATCTCATTACTTAAGATTTTTGTAATGCCTTAATATCATATGAAGAGGCTGAGAAATATAATTTATCTATTCTATTCAATCTAGCATCACTCATATTGGCAATTAATAAATTATTTGAAGCACATTTGATTTTAATCATATTGAAAGAAATCTTAGATCGTTCGAAATATTCTCTTATCTTAATCAAATATCAGACAGAATATTTATTCATCAATATCGTTTGATTAAGTTTAAACAAATATAAATCTTATTTTCATTCATATCCTTATCTTTCATAAACCCTTGATTATGATTGAAATCATTATTAAATTAATGACTTTACTTCTACATCTTGATTCTGATATAAATTTTTAAGACATTCAAATATTTCCTTGCTAGCTATTGGCCATGAGACTGGCATTGAAGCCTCTAATTTCTCAAAAAATAAGAATATAGAATGAGAAATTCAATTTTTATTTGTGATGTTTGCAAAAAAGTTTTCTTCTTTTTTCAATAAATATTGATTAAAAAAATTACTTTAAATTGAATAATTAAATTAATAAAACTAGAATTTATCCTTGATATATTTTATAATGAGTTTAAGACTATATAAATAATCGTTTTACTCATTAATTTTACAATTACACTTTATCTTATATTTGGCTCTTTTGTACAGCTTTTAAAAATATTTCTCTCAACTTTTTGTTTTAAGTTTCTATTATGTTTGATGAATGATCCTCTAAATATTTTAAAATAACTAATGCATCTAAAGTTCCATTTTTTGAATGCATTATATTTTCTTCTTATTAATTTTGTGTTTGGCATAGCTTTTCTACAAAATCTTTGAATTATTGATCATGCTCCGAATCCAAACCATTATATTGTTACATTGTAAGTTCAATGGATGCTATTTTTAATTCTTTCTCTAAATCTAAGGAGCTAATAATATTAAAATATTTTAAGATGCTGTTTAATTTACTCACCCTAACCTCAAATATATTTTCGCATTTTTAATTATTTGCATTGTCAAGGGCTAAATTGATAAGTTCAAATGCTTATGTATTTATTGATCTATTTCCTTCTAAAATTGATCCATCCTTATAAACTTTTTGAACTATATCTAAAACTTTTTCTGATCTACTCTTAACTGTATTCACTTCATATACTTAGGAAGATATCTATTACATTGCCAACAAATAATAATATAATTGTTGAAGGATTGCTTAATAATAAATATGTTGATGTTTTTCAAATTCTTAAGGTTGAGAAATAGATAAATCGATTTGAAAGCTGTCTTCTTATGCTAAAGGTTTATTGGACTATTCTAATTCAGAAGTTTATTTATTTTATTAAGATACTTGTAATTTTAGTGAAGATAATAATTGCTAGAGTTATTAAATATTTTCTTAAATCCATTTAACCTTTTCTAATTATTGCTACTTATCTAACGGTTCTGGCTAATCTTATAATGGATTTATTAATGTTTATTGCTCTTTTTCAATCTTACTTAAACTTTCTTAAACATTATCTAAAATTGATTTATCTAATTAGGGTTGTGATAATGATAACATTTATATTTTTAATGAATTAATATCTATTTAAATTTCTTAAATCTCTTTGATTTATTCTTGATTTTATTACACAGTTCCTTCATATTAGTTCTATTTAATATCTATCTGTGAAGTTTCTTTAGAAGCAAGTTCAATATTTGATTATTTTTAATTTTATTTCAAAGAGTTAAGTTATTCTAAAACTGACAGTATAAAGGGATTATCTGGTTATAGATCATTTGCTTTAAGATAATCAGAAAGCCCTAAGTCATATTAATTGCTATTAATATATAATACTCCTATTTTATATTTTCTATTTATTACCTCTGTTACAATAAGATTTAAGATCATTAGGATTCAATTATATGGCCATACTGAAATCATGGAGAGCTTATTCATTATTTCCCATCATATTCCATAAAACTCCTAATCAGGTTAATATGTATATTACCTCTATTATAATAAGAATCAGCGTCCATAGAGTTTAACTTAATGGCCATGCTAAAATCCTCAAGAGCTTATTCTTTAATCCCCATTTCGAAATATCTCGATCCTATTCAGATAGCATCTTTATTACCTCTGCTCATATAGGCAGGAGCATACTAAGGATCCAATTAAATGCACTTTGCATAATCTAGGAGTGCCTATTCTTTATTTCCCTAACAATCTTAGAGTACTCCTATTCAAAATAAAATATATTGAGTACCTCTTTTATAAAAATATTTAGCATTTACTGGATTTAATTAAATGGCATTGTTATAATCTATAAGTGCTTATTCTTTATTTCCCATTTCATCATATAATAATCCTACTCAAATATACAGTATTTTTACCTCTGTTAATATAAGCTAAATCATTTGTAGGGTCTAATTCAATTGATTTATTTAAATCAATTAGTGCCTGTTCTTTGTTTCCTATTTCTTTATATAGAATTCCTATTATATAATATCAAAAGATACCTCTGTTAATATAAGTTATAGCATCCATTGGATCTAACTGAATTGCATTGTTATAATCAATCAGTGCCTCTTCTTTATTTCCCATATTTTTATATAAAATTCCTATTAAATATTATTGATTTATTGCCTCTGTTACAATATGTTTTCACATCTTTAGGATTTAATTAAAGAACTTTATTATAATCCTCAAATGCCTATTCAGTATTTCCCATCTCATTAAATAAAACACCTGTTAGATATCATATCTATATTACCTCTATTATAATAAATTTTAGCATTCATAGGATCCAATTAAATAGCCTAATTATAATTTATGAGTGCTTATTATTTATCTCCTATTGCATCATATTGAATTCCTTTGTATACTATTTATTCATTACCTCTGTTATGATAAATTTTAGAATCCATAGGATCTAATTCAATTGCTTTGTCATAATCTAAGAGAGCCTATTCTTAATTTCCCATTTCATAATATATAACTCCTATTCATTTTAATTTATTAATTACCTCTGTTGTAATAAAATTTTGAGCTCAAAGGATCTAACTGAATCGCTTTATTAAAATCAAGGAGTGCCTACTCTTTATTTCCAATATTTTTATAAAGAATTCCTATTCATTAATATTTATTAATTACCTCTGTTACAGTAGATTTTAGTATTAATGGGATCCAATAGAAGGGCCTTGTTATAATCTATGAGTGCTTATTCTTGATTTCCCATGTCATCAAATTGAGTTGCTATTCGATAAAATAAATTGATTACCTCTAATAAAATAATATCCAGCATTCTAAGGATCGATTTGAATGGCCATATTATAATCTAAGAGGGCTTAATCTATAAGTCCCATTTGGTTATATAGATCTCCTATACAATATAATTCATGAAATTACCTCTATATATATATACCTAACTACATTTCTCATCAACTTCAATTGCCTTATTATAATACTTCAAAGCTTCTAGATACTATCCTATTACTACCATTATTATTCCTAAAATTATCAAACTTCTTTACCAATCATCATGTATGCTAATCCATAATTCGGATTAATTTGTATAGCTTTTTCACAATCTTCTAATGATTCTTTTAACATTTTCTTTCTATAGAATCCAGTTGCTATGATTTATTTAATTACACTTTACCTCTATGATAAAATGTTTCTTCTTTCAATGACCCTAATTATACAGCTGAATTTAAATCATCTAATGCTTGATCATTCAAATTTTTTTTTAACAATAACTCTCCTTAAGTTATAAAATTAATAGATACCTCTCAATGTTAAGGCTTTAGCATTCAAAGGAAGGAGTTTCAGAGAATTGTTTATAAGTTTTAAGGCGTCCTCAATGTTCAACTATTTGAGCTTAATCTAATTATAATATATAATTAAGTTTACAAGGCTTGCTTAATATAATTCTTCAGCTTATTGTTCGTTTTAGTAAATATCAGTTGACTGTTGGGATAATTGACTTTGATCTGATTACATTTATGAATATTTCAATAAATTTAATGTATTTTAGAGAAATTTCAGAAAATAAGATATAACACTTTTTTAAATTGCTGATAATTAATTTTATTAATGTAATAAATCTAGGTTATATCTATGATTATTATAGGATAAAAAGAAACACTATTCTTTTTGACAATAGTAACTCAATTAATAAAAGAGAGGAAGGTGAAACATTAATTTTATTTGTTCTTAATCAACTTGATTATAAGAGCATTCTATAATATAAAATATTTAGTAATCTATAAAAAATATATTATTTTAATAATTGATCTATGAATAATTTCAATAATTATTATTTTTTGCCCCTTTTTACAACAGCAATTTTTCGAGATTCTCGTTATCTTATGTCAATAATATTGATTGTTTAATACTACAACAATCAGCCATTAAAATTGGACTTCTAGCAAAAGTTTTACTGCAAACAGGTTTTCCATATTTTTCTACAATCTGTTTACTTACATTATAAATAAATATAGACCCATCATATGTTCCTATAATCAATTATTTTCCACGATTAGAAGATAAAACACAATTAATTTCTGTTGAAAATTGATTAATTGTATATTTAATTTCCTTTGTTTTCTTATCAATCAAGTTTATACTCTTTCTTTAATCAATTAATTAGTGTTCAAATAGAGCTGATTCTTATTTATTAACTACTAAAAATTCTATATTTTCAGGTCCAAACAAGCAAATTTCTGTAAATTCTTCAAACAAATATGTATATACTAAATTATCTTTACCAATAGCCTTAATAATTTATGTATCCTCATTAATCTAAAATGC